ATGCATTTGGATTTAGAAGGAAAAAAGGCCATGATGTAATAAAGATTGTCATTCTTAATCAGATCTACTTATTTGATTCTGAAGGAAAGTGTGGAACAAACATAAATCCAATGGACTATTTACTTATCACTAATAGAGAAAACAGGAATGTTAGTATGTTCAATGTTCATCACTACCATACACCCATACTCAAGAAAAACACACACATATATATATTTGCAAGCAGTATCAAACACCATTGCCTAATTTAAAAATATTCTTGGACCTCTTATTGATCAATATCTCTTATAGGAAGGGTGAGAGTTAGCATCTGAACTGAAACAGTACTATTAGAAAATGATACAATGAGCATTAGGATGTATAATTCATGTTGCTTTCATTTGCTCAGACCATTGTAAAAATCCATAAATCATCTTCTTGTTCATGTATTGCTTAAGTGCAATTTGTCATTTTGCATTAGAGGGCTGCTTCAGCTCATCAGTGTTTTTAATTCACTGTCTAGAGTTTAACAAAATGCTGGCCCTGTCTGATCACTTGGAAAGACTCTGGAGCATGGAGCCACACCAGCATTAACTAGGTTAAACAAAATAGAGAACATTTCTATTTTGAATATCAAATAAAACTTCATGGAATATCCAGTATTCTCAGTCCCCCAAAACATGGTTGGGTTCAAGCCTTAGAACACAGTCACTGAAGAATTATCTGAAAGCTTACAATAGCACAGGCTACACTCACTCTTTAGAATAAAAGAGAACACAGTCTGTGGTGTTGGCTCCAAAGCTCTGCCTTCCCACCTCTTGTTAGGTTACACTGCTACAAACAAATCTATTGCATGGCTACCCTTTCAAAGATGCAATGCAGCCCAGGTCCTTTCCGTTTGCTCCCTGCACTCTCCTTGCTGGAAACGGCAAGTGCCCAGAACCATCTAGCTCAATCCCTGGACGAGCCTGGAGTTTGAAATACTCTTTATTGACAATTTTAATTTTTTGTCTTCCATTTAAAAAAAAAAAAAAAGTCTCCTCTCAAGGCTCTGGGCACACTGCAATAACAAGAGGATTTAGAAACAAATTGCTTTCAAGTCAAGTTAAGTCACTGCAAACACTCATTTATCCAAAGGCTGGTTCACAAACATGTTTCCCTCCCGCCTTTTCTAGAAAAGGGTAGGGAAGAAGGCAACCTGGTTACCTAGTTCCAGAGTTTGCAACTAGGAATGTAAAACAAATGTGCAGGATCTTAGCACCCCCCCCCCACACACACACACACACACACACACACACACACACACACACACACACACACTGCTGGGGCACTTAGAGCCAATGAAAGAGAGGAAGGTGACTTATCACTCTCATACACCAATAAGTTGATTTTGATAACCTCCCTCCAAATAATAACTACTTCCCCCTTCTGTTTTAGAATGGAATTTGTTTTGATCCAGATGGTTGGCCCTCCTGGAGGGGCCCCGGGGTTTGGGGGACTAGAGATTGATTCTCCCTTTTCCCGCCCAGTGATGGGGCGTCCAGGGACACAGCATTATATAAAACCATGCGCTTCAAAGGTCGTCAGCTCACCACTGAGGCTTTTTATATGCTCATGGCCTCACTAAATTCCGGGTCCACCAAAGAGAGTGAAAAAGAAAAAGGGAAGGGAAGGGAGATCTGCTTGATTGGCACAGCAAGGGGGTGAAGAAACCAGTTAACCCTTAAGAAGCGTTTTTCAAAAGGCGAATTGAAAGTGTTGTTTTGTTTGGTGGGTGGCAGGGCGGGGCTGTTGAATGGTTTGGGGTTTAGGAGGTAAAGAAAGCTATCCATGCCACTCTCTGAATCCTGGTCCCCAGCAAAATGCTCTTGAAATTGCCCTTCGCCAGAGGGAAGCGGGCGCCTCTTGCAGGAGACCCCGCGGGTTCCGATGGTACCTTGGAGAGAACAAGTCAGAGAGGCGAGACCTCTGCCAGGTCCCTGACCTGCGTGGCCCCCCGCGGTCACAGGCCTTTGTGACCCAAGAAATCCTGCAGAGCCCCCAACAGGCGAAGCCCCCAACAGGCGAGAGAGAGCTCCGAGCAAATTTCTCCGGCTTGCCCTATGCTCCTTTGGCCGCTAGGAGGCGCTTGTAACCCACGTTTGCAGTGAGAGAGAGTCCTGATTCAAACACATCTGCTACTATAAAAAAAAATAAAAAGCGGTTCCAGCGTTCCAGTGGATGTAGTGGTTATTCACAGGCAAATCTGACCATCTCTGCACAGCCTCCTCTCCACCTCAGGAAGCCCTGGGGCTCTCAGCGAACGCCCCAAGTCTGCTCAAACTTCACCTGCATGTTGCAAACAAACAAAAAACAAAACAAAAAACAAAAAACCCTTTTTCCCCAAATTCTGGATCTGCATTGTCATCCAGCCGCAGGGCGCTCACACGCAGACACGCACGCACACGCGCGCGCGCACACACACACGTGTTCCCACACGTACATAGGAAAACATGAGAACATTACCGTCATTTAAAATAAAATTAAAAAATGCTCCGGGATTCTGATGAGTCAGCTTGAAGAGCTCAGAGCCTGTCGTTTCCATCCCGCAGTTGGAAAGCAAACGAATGGGTGGGGGGGGGGGGGGGGTGAAAGTGCAGACTGCAATGCCACATTCGCATTCAGATAAACTATCACCTCCTTTCCATGGATCCACAGGTCCCTTCTCAGTGGCGGGACGTGACGCTCGCATCATTGCAACTGCAGCGGTTTGCACTTGGCTTCGGCCAGTCATCAATTTACTGCAGCTGGAAAGGGATTAGCCATGTTTGCTGGCATCCTTCCCTTCCAACCGCTCAAAGGCAGGACCAACACCGCCACAGAGCTGGTGGGGGGAGGGGGCCGGGGGGGGGGGGCAGACAGGGCAGCAGGCTCGCACTCGCGGGACCGGTAGGGGCATGGGCTCAACCTGCAATCCAGTCCGCGGACAATCGCCGTCCTTAGTCCTTCGTCCCCTGCCAGGCGGGAAAGGCAACAGCATAGCTCGAGGTTCGGAGGGAAACGAACCTCCTTTTCTCGCAGGTCGCGGCGGTGTTGCTCTAGGGTCATTCATGGCGAGGAAGCCCCCAGGGACCCTCTGTCTTGTGGTTTTTGAAGGAAATTGAACTGGGGCTGCTTTCGTGAATCCACAACCCGCTGAACAGAGAACTGTGCGTGTGTGTGTGTGTGTGTGTGTGTGTGTGTGTGTGTTATGTTGGGGAATCGGCATGCCACCCTCTCTCGGGCAGGGATGAGTGCGCGCTGGATGTGAACTTCACAGGAGCTGGGCGTGTGGACGCTGCTGGGCCCCGCTCCCGGCAGTGGGCACTCGGAGATGCCAAGCGCCTCCTGCGGGACCCGGAGTGGGGGCGGGGGTCCTCTGGGACCCACACCGAGCTGTGGCGCCCTGGCTCAGGGAGGGTGGCTGAGAGCTCCCGCAATGTGCCAGCGCCGCCGGAACCCGCAAAGCACACACACACACACACACACACACAAGCGCTCTCTCTCTCTCACACACACACACACACACACACAAGCGCTCTCTCTCTCTCTCACACACACACACACACACACACACACACAAGCTCTCTCTCTCTCTCTCTCTCTCACACACACACACACACACACAAGCGCTCTCTCTCTCTCACACACACACACACACACACACAAGCGCTCTCTCTCTCACACACACACACACAAGCGCTCTCTCTCTCACACACACACACACAAGCGCTCTCTCTCTCTCTCTCACACACACACACACACACACAAGCGCTCTCTCTCTCTCTCTCTCTCTCTCTCTCTCACACACACACACACACACACACACACACACACACAAAGCCCCGCGTTTTCACCGGGTCCACCTCCCCCCCGCCCCCCACTCCCAAGTTCCCAGCCGCCCCGCTATCCCCATGCAGCGAGCGTGCAAGCATCGCCGGGCACAGAACGGGCGCCGGGTCTAGCCCCGGGGCCGGGGATGGGGCCGGGGATGGGGTCGGGTGGGGGGGGGAGTGGGGGGAGGAGGCGGGGGAATGTTGGATGGTCAGAAATAAAGCGGAAAACACACAGCCTGTGCGCGCCGCCGCCGCGGAGCGCTCGGCGGGGAGAGGAGGCGCGGGCTCCCGCGGGCTCCTGGCAGCGCTCCCGGCGCTCGGCGCCCGCAGCCCGGAGGGGAGCGTTCGCTGGGCTGGAGGCAGGCAGGGCTCAGAGGAAACGAGCCCCTCAGCCCGTGCTCCAAGCGCTCCCAGCTCAACCCAGGTGCCCAGACGAATCCATCTGTGCAGTGAGAGTGTGCGGGTCTGCAAGGGAGACGGCGGGAGGCGAGTCTATAGAGGGTGCAGGCCCATCCGATCGGCCTGACCTCCTTGGGGTGGGACTCACCCCACGGAGGTCAGGCCGATCGGATGGACCTTGCACCCTCTATAGCCCCTGCAGACCCCGCGCTCCGTGTGACCCAGGCCACGTGAGATCCGGTGTCTACATGCCCTGCCCGCCTCTGCCTGAGCCCCTTTACTTAGGTAACCCCTGCCGATGGCTGGCCGCGCTCTGCAACTTTGCCCCGTCCTCGGGGATGCATTTCCACCACCAGCAGCCTGGAAAATACCTTCCAGGGAACAAGAATGTGAGCGTCATTGGAAACCCCGCTCCTGGGAGAGGATACCGCGGCCGCGGTTGCTATTATGGTTTCGCAGTTGCTGATGCAAACGGGGGAACCTCTCTATTCCCTCCCCGCGGCCTGCGGCTGGGGACGGGGAACTTTCCGCGGCAGAGTCCCCGGCGGCGCCTCGGGACCTGCGGGCCCGGCTCCCTCTCACACTCACACTCACCGCGCCCGCCCGCCCGGCCGCGGGCTCTGCCCCGTCCCGCCCCGCCCGGCTGCCGGGTGACGCGCCTACTTGACGGCCGGCGCAGCCAATCCGCGGGGGCGCGGGGGGTGGTGCTCCTCGGGGATTGGTTGGCAGAAGGAGGGCGCTGCGCAAAAACAGAGAAGCGCTGCGCTCCGAGCTCAGAAACTGCCAGCGGAGATCGCGGGCTCCGAGGCTGAGCCGGGAGGAGGGACAGGACTGGAAGGAAGAGAGACAGACGGCTTAGAGGGAGAGAGGCTTGGGAAGGCAGCAGCGGGAAAGAGACTGCTCATCACACCTACAGAGAGGCAAAGAGGCCGGCGGGAATGAGGACGGAGAGAGAGGAGACTGGGAAAGCCAAAAAATACAAATAGGTCGGAAGAAGAAGAAGAAGAAGAAGAAAAAGGAAAAAAAAAAAAAATGCCCAGAACAGCCATCCGGAGAAATGAAGAGAATGAAAGTTTCATGCTGCAGAGCCGTGAGATGCTTTTCCGGCACAGAATCCTCTCCCTGCTCTTGAGCCCTTTGGCATTTGCCCGCCGTTGACATTAAGAGGCATGTTCAGCGGTGCCGGCAGCATCTCCTCTTCCTTCTCCTCTTCATCCTCCTCCTCCTTCTCCTCCTTCTTTCCCTCCTCCTCCTTCTCCTCCCATCAGCAGGAAGACAAACCGAGGACAGTCTTGAAATATCGAAATTGCCTCCTTGGGATTTGCCAGCGTCGCGCTGCGCCAAGACGGTGGGAATAAAAGGACGCGGACTGTTGTATTATTATTTTATTAATCGGTCAGTGGGAAGATTACAGATGAGGCAAGGGGACGCCTGCCACTCTTCCTGCGCTAAGATTGAAAAATGAGGCTGGACTGGAGGAAGCCCTGACATGAAGCAAAAAGAATAAGATTTTTTTTTTTAAGGACAGAAAAGCCACAGGATCCCACACACACACACACACACACACACACACACACACGTACACAGAGAGAACACTTTTATTTGTATTTAATTTTTTTTCTTCTCGTGCTGGTGGGGGAGGCGATTGGCTGGCTGCGGGGAGCTGCTTCCTTTCCCTTTTGGAGATGGTTGTGCTATTCCTTTTTGCCTGGCTCTGGATGGTGCGGGGAGTCCTTTCCCAGCTTCACTACACGGTGCAGGAGGAGCAGGAGCATGGCACGTTCGTGGGCAACATCGCGGAAGACCTGGGCCTGGACATCACCAAACTTTCGGCTCGCAGGTTCCAGACGGTGCCCAACTCCCGGACCCCCTACCTGGACCTCAACCTGGAGACCGGGGTGCTGTACGTGAACGAGAAGATCGACCGAGAGCAGATCTGCAAGCAGAGCCCCTCCTGCGTGCTGCACCTGGAGGTGTTCCTGGAGAACCCGCTGGAGCTGTTCCGGGTGGAGATCGAGGTGCTGGACATCAACGACAACCCCCCTTCCTTCCCGGAGCCCGACCTCACGGTGGAGATCTCCGAGAGCGCCACGCCGGGCACCCGCTTCCCCCTGGAGAGCGCCTTCGACCCGGACGTGGGCACCAACTCCCTGCGCGACTACCAGATCACCCCCAACAGCTACTTCTCCCTGGACGTGCAGACCCAGGGCGATGGCACCCGCTTCGCCGAGCTGGTGCTGGAGAAGCCGCTGGACCGGGAGCAGCAGGCGGTGCACCGCTACGTGCTGACCGCGGTGGACGGGGGAGGAGGGGGAGGAGAAGGGGGAGAAGGGGGAGGAGGAGGCGGCGGCGCAGGAGGAGGAGGAGGAGGAGGCGGAGGGGGCTTGCCCCCCCAGCAGCAGCGCACCGGCACGGCCCTCCTCACCATCCGAGTCCTGGACTCCAACGACAACGTGCCCGCCTTCGACCAGCCCGTCTACACCGTGTCCCTGCCCGAGAACTCGCCCCCGGGCACCCTGGTGATCCAGCTGAACGCCACGGACCCGGACGAGGGCCCGAACGGCGAGGTGGTGTACTCGTTCAGCAGCCACCTGTCGCCGCGGGCGCGGGAGCTGTTCGCGCTGGCGCCGCGCACGGGCCGCCTGGAGGTGAGCGGGGAGCTGGACTACGAGGAGAGCGCGGCGCACCAGGTGTACGTGCAGGCCAAGGACCTGGGCCCCAACGCCGTGCCGGCGCACTGCAAGGTGCTGGTGCGGGTGCTGGACGCCAACGACAACGCGCCCGAGATCAGCTTCAGCACGGTGAAGGAGGCGGTGAGCGAGGCGGCGGCGCCCGGCACGGTGGTGGCCCTGTTCAGCGTGGCCGACCGCGACTCAGAGCAGAACGGGCAGGTGCAGTGCGAGCTGCTGGGCGACGTGCCCTTCCGCCTCAAGTCGTCCTTCAAGAACTACTACACCATCGTCACCGAGGCCCCGCTGGACCGCGAGGCCGGAGACTCCTACACCCTCACCGTGGTGGCCCGGGACCACGGCGAGCCTCCGCTCGCCACCAGCAAGTCCATCCAGGTGCGGGTGTCGGACGTGAACGATAACGCGCCCCGGTTCGCCCAGCCCGTCTACGACGTGGCCGTGACCGAGAACAACGTGCCGGGCGCCTACATCTACGCCGTGAGCGCCACGGACCGCGACGAGGGCGCCAACGCGCGGCTCGCCTACGCCATCCTCGAGTGCCAGATCCAGGGCATGAGCGTCTTCACCTACGTGAGCATCAACGCCGAGAACGGCTACCTCTACGCCCTGCGCTCCTTCGACTACGAGCAGCTCAAGGACTTCAGCTTCCAGGTGGAGGCGCGGGACGCGGGCAGCCCCGAGGCGCTGGCGGGCAACGCCACGGTGCACATCGTGGTGCTGGACCAGAACGACAACGCGCCCTCCATCGTGGCGCCCCTGCCCGGCCGCAACGGGACCCCGGCCCGCGAGGCGCTGCCCCGCTCGGCCGAGCCGGGCTACCTGCTCACCCGCGTGGCCGCCGTGGACGCGGACGACGGCGAGAACGCGCGCCTCACCTACAGCCTCGTGCGGGGCAACGAGGCCAACCTGTTCCGCATGGACTGGCGCACCGGGGAGCTCCGCACGGCGCGCCGCGTGCCGGCCAAGCGCGACCCCCAGCGGCCCTACGAGCTGGTGATCGAGGTGCGCGACCACGGCCAGCCGCCCCTGTCGTCCACGGCCACGCTGCTGGTGCAGCTGGTGGACGGCGCCGCGGAGCCCCCGGGCGGGGGCGGGGGCGGGCCCGGGGGCCCCGGGGAGCACCAGCGCCCCCCCAACCGCTCCGGCGGCGCTGGAGGAGGAGGAGGAGGAGGCGGCGGGGAGACCTCGCTGGACCTCACCCTCATCCTCATCATAGCCCTGGGCTCCGTGTCCTTCATCTTCCTGCTGGCCATGATCGTGCTGGCCGTGCGCTGCCAGAAGGAGAAGAAGCTCAACATCTACACGTGCCTGGCCGCCGGCGACTGCTGCCTGTGCTGCTGCTGCTGCTGCGGCGGAGGCGGCGGCGGCGGCGGGCACGGGGGCTCCGCCTGCTGCGGCCGCCAGGCCCGGGCGCGCAAGAAGAAACTCAGCAAATCGGACATCATGCTGGTGCAGAGCTCCAACGTGGCCAGCAACCCCGCGCAGGTGCCCGTGGTGGAGGAGGCCGGGGGCTTCGGCGGCTCCCATCACCACAACCAGAATTACTGCTACCAGGTCTGCCTGACCCCGGAGTCCGCCAAGACCGACCTGATGTTCCTGAAGCCCTGCAGCCCCTCCCGGAGCACGGACACTGAGCACAACCCCTGCGGGGCCATCGTCACCGGCTACGCCGACCAGCAGCCCGACATCATCTCCAACGGGAGCATTTTGTCCAACGAGGTAAGGCTGAAGCGCAAGGACCACCATCTCTCATCTCCTCCATCCGAAAGCCTCCTCTAGCCTGGCCCCCCTGTTGTCTCTGGTGCACTGTGTATTTATTTTTTAGGCTATTAGCTTATTTGTATCTTTGTGGGGGGAGGGGGTTGACAAGGAGTGGGGGATCTCCCTCTCTTCCACCCCTCTGTGTGTAATCTAAACTCAGTGTTGTCCCTTATGTTTTTGCGCTCCACCCCCCTGCACAGTTTATTTTCACTTCCCACCCTTGGTGCCTTGCCTCCTTGGACTTTCTTTTTTCCCCTCTGGCATCTTTGCTTTAAAAATCCCCACCCCTTCTTCTCAGTCCTTTCCCTTCCCAGAAACCTGGGAATGAATGGGCAAGTGGGCGGGGACAGAGGGAAAAGGGGTGGAGGCACTTGCTGGCACTGGCAAAGGTCTCTCTCTCTCTCTCTCTCTCTTTTTTTTTCTCTCTGCGTCTGTCTCAGGCGTTAATAAAGTTCATTGTTTTGCCCTGTTTAATCGATGCTTTCAGTCGCGTGTAAAAGTAAGCTATAGATTGTCTTAACTCTGCACAGTTGTCTAAACTCGAATGCATGTCGTAGTGAACGAGTTATCAGATTCCTGTCCCCTGAACTCGGGTTGCAGAAAAGCCTTCAGTTCTGTCCTGGACAGCGTTTGCAGACGCTCTTGAAGCCCAAGGCCCACACAGTGTGAATTTGAATGAAGTTGCTTTTGGCACAAGCCCCTGTAAGCATAAACTAAACAGAAGGCTTAAACAATTGTTGTCTTAAACTATATCTTCTAGCTAATAATCACCTTCTTGCCACTGTTTTTGATAAATCACTGCTGTTGGCTTTCTTCACCAAAGGATGTGGCTTGTCAGTTCTGATTTATTCTTAAAAGATGGAGAAGTGGCAAAGTTGGAGGGAAGGAGGGGGGGGGGGAGAGGGAGAAGGGAGTTGATTTATTTAAAAGAAAGTTTGGCCAGAAGAGGTATATGGGTGTGGAGGTGGGAGGAGGATGCAGAGAGCCTTTGGAAGGGGAAAGATTTTGGCGGGAGGGAAAGCTATGAACTCCTTTCTTGACAGGTTATTTTATTTATTTGAGTCTTAGATATTATTAATTGACTTTCATGGATATTTGTACAGCTCATTTGTATCTTAAGCACATTTTGAAAATAAACAACAAAATAATTCCATAAAACATCCAAACTTTTGCTTATTGAGCGTGCTGTCTTTCTTGTGTCAACCAGTTTACACCTAAACACTTTTTTAGGCCATTGTAAGAAAGACTACAGAGCATAACTAGGTTGACTCTGTCCTAGATGATCATTTATGAGCCCCAGCTATGAGGTCATTTGCATTCTCTCCTTAAAAAGCACTCACACATTTAACCTGCATTTTTTTTTTTAAACCTTTACTGGAAATCTAGACTCAGGTGTCTTTTCATATCTCCGTGCCCTTTCCCAGCAATTGGGCTGAGATCTTAGGACAGCATAGAAATTCATAAAAATGTACACAATTACTTAAGCTGGAATTAGTTTCTAACCTCAAAAGCAGACTATTAGTTAACCCTTAGCATTCAAAGGCTCTTGATTTATTTATTTTTTTTCTAGACTAAACATCAGAGAGCAGAGCTCAGCTATCTAGTTGACAGACCTCGCCGAGTTAACAGGTATGGACTCATATTTTACTTCCTAGCTATGTGTGTGGACAATCTACTACCTATTGCAAGCAAGAATTAGGTATATTACTCAATAATATAATATAAAACATATAAAGTATTTCCAATTCAGGCAGGACATAAATGCTAATTAAGTTGGGTTTCCTACTTAATACATTAAAATATGGGTATCTTATTATATACAAGGTTCTAAATATTTTTGGATAGTTTGTCAGTTTTCACCCCTACACTGTTTCTGATGGTCTCCCTAACGGTTCCAGGTGTATATGCACACCTGCTGTATAAAATGATATAAACATATGCTTAGCCCCAATCATAGAATTTCTATTGCCTAAGCTTTCCATGCCTTCCAGGGCTCAAACTGACTGCTGATGCTCAATTTTAAAGAGTTAGGGTTCGGCTTATGAAAACAAGCTTTATGCAGAAATATAGCCAACTCAGAGGTCTCTGAATCTGCAGCGCCATCGGCGGCCATGTGGTGGCAGAAGAATGTTTTGTGTGTCACTTCACCTTTTTTTTATTCTAATTTCACATTTTTGTACTTCTAGTTCTGCATTCCAGGAAGCCGACATAGTAAGCTCTAAGGACAGTGGTCATGGAGACAGTGAACAGGGAGATAGTGATCACGATGCCACCAACCGTGGCCAGTCAGCTGGTAAGTGTGATCCAAAGAGCAATCTAAATGCTGGCTTTTAGAGTTTAAAAAAAAAAAAATCTAGAAAAGATGATGTCCTAGGTAATTATCTTTTCCTTTTTGTAAATTTAATGTTGCTACCTCTAGGGAAAAGGACTGTGTCATCCTATGTCGATAAATATATACTCAAAGAGGATTATAAAAACCCAGTGTTCCTTTGGAGAGTTGACGTTAGAAATGCATTGTGGGATATATTATTGTAGAATTTGAACTATTTCTTCCTTGTGTAATGTGCTTTAATGAAATTATAATGCATGCAAAAAGCCATGGATCTCTCACCCGGGCCAGTCCCCAGCCTTCAGTCAATTAAGATATTGTTAGACCTGTTTGTGGATGAGGTAAGTGAAGATGGATGAAATTGATTGACCTGTACAAGGTCACGAGAGGCTGAGTGGATAACCGGGGCTAGAACCCACAGATCTCGCCATACAGTGCATTTTGCATGCCACCACGTAGTGAATGTGGGAACAGATGGTGATTAAAAGACAAATAGGTTTGAAAGCAGGATTTCCAACCCTGGATTCTTAGGCTTCAGAGCATTAGCAAACATTTGATAGTGTGTATTCCCTGAAGTGTGTTAGGTTTCCTTGTATTTTCAACAGGGTCCATGACCTGTCAAAATGTTGGACGCCGTATATAGTTATACGTGGGCTTAATGGTAGTCACTGATATGGTCGCCATGGGCTACATCTGTTTTATTTTATTTTGCTTCATCTATTTTGCTTTAGTTTTTCCACGTGAATTTATTCTAGAAATTTTATAGCACCCTGATAACTCTACTATTTCATAAAGGAAACACTTAAGAGAAATACAATGTGTACCACAACCTAATGAAAATAACCTCATAACGTTTGGATTTCCTTTCCCTTTCATTTGCACTTCAACTAAAAGGGTGCTTGTTAATTTTGCTTTCTCTTACTTTTTTATTTTCTGATCAAGTTTTGTGTTTATCTGACACGTAAGAAAATGGAAAGTCAACTTTTGTAACTTCTAACAATGTCCATCCTTGGAGACCGTGCCTGGGTGCAACTTCTTTGGCTTGCGATTTGAGCTTTATTTTGATTAATGGTGTAAGCATGGAGTGATAGGGTCCTCGTCTTCAAGGCAGCCTTGGTCCTCGAGAGCACCCATTCCTCAACGCACTCGGTGCCCCTCTGAATGGGGCTGAGGCAGCGGGTCAGAGGGCTGGACACGCCCCATGGTCGCCTGGCAGCTCTGGCCTCTGCCAGCCAGAGACTGGGCTAATGTGTGCTGTGTCTGAGGCTGCCTCAGGCTTGGGAAACACAGGCGGGAGGAGGTGGGAAAAGGCTGCTCAAGGGTCTCTTTATTTGGCTGCAAGTCATTAATATGCAGACCTAATGAGACTTGAGAACTGCCAAGAATTCCCGGAGGTCCCTGCCCCTTGCAGGCCTTCACGCTAAGTGAACAGAGCATCTATTTAGTGTCTGGGAACCTGACAACAAACCAGATCTTGCCAGAAGTTTATATTGGAGTACAAAGTTCCCTTTCATTTTTAGCCTATATGTGGCATATGATTTATTGTTATCTTTAAGAAGCTGTACATTTAGAATCGTGCATTCCTATTCTTCCTTCGGAGTGTCTGACTTTAACAGTCAGCCTTTTAAAACTTTTAAAACAAAATCTTCAGCATGAAAAACTGAGTATCTGCTGAATGCTCCCTGGGGTGCATTTTATACCTTTCCAACTCTTTTGTTTTGTTTTTGTTGTTGTTTTTGTTTTGTTCCTTTTTTTCCCCCTGTGGCTCTCCAATCTCAATAAACATTTCAATTAGTTTAGTCCCTTAGACATAATGAGCTGTAATCACCTAACCAAAGAAAGAGAAATGAATAAACACCTGCAAAAAGCACTGAATTTGGAAGGTGGACGGGAATATATTCCTGCCCATGCAACTTCCAGTAGCTGTTTTATTTCACAGGCACTCAGTGTTGCCATTTTGGGATGTGTCTTCCCACTGTTTGAGATGTCAAAGCATGAAAATGAAAATGAAAATGAAAATACTTAACTGTGTTCTGAAAAACACTTTTTAAAAGTAAGGCAGTTTTTCTTTTTCTTTATCAAAATGGCCACCCCCCCCCCCATCCTTATGTTTTTAAACATGTAAAAGTAGCACAGAATCTACAATCTGTATGTGTCATTAACAGTTTATAGGGCAGCCACTACCTACTGGGCACAAGAATAGCTGTTTCAGAATTGGAACTACACACTTTTATTAAGAAGCAATCACACCTTTGTGTGATGAATTGCAGTCCATTTTAATATGTCTCATTTCATTGTTAAGAATGATTTTGAATGTTTTCCTTTTAAGTATACAATCCTAAGTGCAGAGAATTAGAATGCATTTACTTAACGCTTTTTTCCCAGTCAAACTGATGTTGTGTATTATAAACCCACATAAAAAAAAGGCTAAAATATTTTCTATAAGTTGAGCCCATTTCAGTATATCCATTTCATTTCATTGAAAAGCCAGGTATTATGCTGTAATATTTAGGAAACATTCAAAGCACATGCATTTTCAGGTTTCGGATATTAACACATTTCGTACTAATAAGCAAATCTCACTCAGCTGGATTTTAAGGGGGAAGAGGTTAGATTAGCAAGGGAAAATAACTCTGGAAAGATACAGAAATCTGAATTTTCTCCTTTAGTTTGCACTGCATTCCATACTCCATTTCATACACTTTTTGGCTTCACCTATTTAAACTTCCTAACTTCTTCTTTATTCTCACGTTCTTTTTCTATGTTAACATTGCTTTATATGCACTTATTTAAATATGCCTTCTATTTATTCTCCTATGAATAGTTTTCCTTTTTTATGTCCTCTTTCTAAGCCATTTGAAGTCACAATCTTGTTCATAGAAGGGCTTTAAATACGGAGGCAGCTGCACAGAGAACCACATAAGCTTTTGCAGCTTTCCACTGCACTTGGATCCCTGTATAAAACTGCTCGGATTGACCACTGCTCTGTGGAACTATTTTTTTTCCCCCCTATAGCCTTATCAAGGTGCTTTCCATGTCTTTTTTCGGTGCACTATTGATGTATTGGTCAGATATGGCAAAAGTCCAAGGAGATGTGGTAAATGCATGCAGAAATCATCACAAGAAGCAAAACTGATTAATCACAGCTGAACTAGCCAAAGGAAGTCAAGGTGGATTTTAAAATAAATATATTTTCAATGTTGTTCATTTTATAGTTAGATTAAAAGATAGGCTTTTTTTTTTCTCTCCTCATTTATACTAGTAGTACAACATTTTTTGTTGTATATCCTCAAACATTTTAATATTATTAGGGATACAATTAAGTTGTAAGAAGTTGCTTTTGAATTTAAAATTCAATGTGCATAATACTAGAATTAACTTCTGAAAAAAAATATATTGAAGAGGAGAACCCTAATAAGTGATTCTGTTCTTGTTACTTGTTATGGTTTATCTCAAAATGTCAAATGGTTCTTAATTTTTTCAGTTATGAGGGAACTTAGCATCTAAATGTATTTATTTCTTAACTAATTATTATGAGATTGGTATATAATACATGGTCAAATTTTGGCTATAAATTTTTAAAAAATGATTTGAATTATCATTATAAACTAGTAAATAAATTATATCATGAACTGTATTAACATTAATAAGAGAATACTTGAATTACCATGAATGTAAATTTCCCTTTCCAAAAATTCCAGAATTTAGAGACTGGCAAAATTTGTGGCTTTATAAGTAAATTGAATTACACCATTGTTTGCAAAAACTCACTAAGGTTTGTAGTGAAAGTCTGAGCTACAAAGATTTGTAATTAGAAAAATACATGACAAAATATGGAGAGAAAATGAAAAAAAAATAAACATTTTGAAAAATAGGTAGAGAAAAATTATGATAGACATGTTTTGAATTTTATGTTTGAATTATATTGATAAATATCTGCCTCCAAACCACATTATCCTAAAAATTATAACAATTTTTTATGGTCATAATTAAAAATCTCTTAGTTTCCAGTATTATGTGGTCAAAGGAAGACTAGAAATTTTCTAAAAAAAATTAAGTATGATTTTCTTTAAAATTAACTTATCATGTTTGAAATAATAAACTTTTTCTATGAAGGTTTGGTGCATGAGAAATGTACACATAGTTTTGTATTATTACATTCATCAGGAAGCTGTACAAGTTAAATACAAATCTAAAATCTTTGAAATTATAATTTGTTTTCAGTGATAGTAGCACTGTCTCCAACTATAAGGGACAAATTACTTGCCAGTTATAAAAGACATATTTTAAAATTTGTCTAAATATATCTGTGCATAACAGGCAGTCTATCACATCAGCTGTTAGGCCTTGTAGAACAGATTATTTCTGAGAAGTGAAGAAAATAAATAAGTAGAAGAAAAATTGCAAGGGAAAAAAAGACATAAATATATGTATGGAAAGAGATTTCTTAGAAACTACCATAAATTCAAAACTGAGGCTTATTCTGCACTTTTCTGCAATACAAGTCCTATAGGTACTACAGTAATGGCATTTGAATGAGGACAAAAACAAAAAAAAATCAAGTTAAATTTACTTTCCCTTGGGACTTCGATTTGAGCCATTAAAAATTTCCCCAGGCAATGTGAATGTCACTATGTCATTTTACCCTGTCACATGGTAAACACCTGGCATTCCTTGCATCATATTGTCATTTATCACAACAAAACTTAAATATACCTCTGCCTACTTGGCCATTAAAATAATATTTAATATAGCTAGTGGTAAATAAAAAAATATAAAATAATGTTAGTCTTTCAATGGCTCCCTAAGATGAGGACTGGTTATGAGGAAATTTTGCTTCTCAAACTATATATATAAAAAAGAAAAAAATTCATTTTCAATAAATATTTTATTATTTTTAATTTATTGATGTACTATTTGTGTTATTAAAATTATGACATTTTTCTTATAATGTGTACACTTTATATATTCTTCCAGTTTTAATTATATTCTACCAGTTTTAATTATGATATAAAACTGGTAGAATATATTCATGCATAGTTTGTGACACCTTGTCTTTCCTTCTAGTTATAAAAAGCTATGTGTTATTACTATAGTAGTTCTACTTGAAAGGATTAGTTCACAAATTTCTCAAGAACATTATCTACAATTTGTGTTTTTTTTCCCCTTCAGTCAAGTAAGATTCTTCCAACAAAAAAACTTTATCTTATTCCACCACTGTTCTTTTTATGCTTATGTTGTATTATCTGTACAGGTTCTCAACTCATGGAAACTTATTATATCATCTTAGAGACTTTTAACTACCTTCTAATAGTTAAAAGAGGCAGAACAGCATACACTTCAAGAGAACAAAATGGGCACAGTGGAGTATAAACTACCCGTAAAAACAAATTCTACTGAAGAACCTCCTAATATCATCATCTGCATAGTGATGTTGAGAGACCAGTTTATTCAAATTCCTCTGTGTAAGATTATTATATGCATAATTATAGGAATACTTGGGTCCAGGCTTCAAAATAAGTGAAAGATTATTAATAGTCTCATCATATATTTAAAACGGTATTTTCAGTCATGTGATGAAAATTTGTATTAATTCTAAATTTTGGTATCCAACTTGATCAGGATCTGATAATACAATTCTATCTTAATATTTGAATAATTTTATCAACTTCCAATTCCATATAACTTGAATTTATTTTTAAAAATAAATAATTTCTGCTAATAATATAATAATTTTAGTCTTAATGGTAGTTCCATCTATTATAAATAAAGTGCCCCCACCACCATGCACATTATTAATAGGGAGCATTTATAGTTTAGTGTGTCAATATACAAGTCTCTCTGGTTCTCTAGCTTCCACCTACTTGGTATTTCAATGCACCAGGGACATTTTTTTCCCCTCTTCTCTTTTTCTCTGTACATAGCTACTTGCAGAAATAGGATAAAAAAAAACTGACCTCTGATGTCTAGGGAAACACTGGCATGTCTTACATGTGGAACTTATCCTGGCTTCAGCTCACGTTTTTGTTCCTCAACAGTTGACTGATCGGTAATTTACTTGCAGGCTTATGCACAATAACTGTCAATGGGATGTTATAATTGAAGTTAGACTTTGCATTATGTTTAATTTAAATTTAAAAAGTCATTATAAAGTGAGATTCACACGTGATAAGAAGCTTGTTGTTATTTCCTTCAACATAGTTTATGTAATCAATTACTTATAATTCATAGATAACCTATAGGGTTAGTAATTTTAACTATTTATTCTCTTTATTTTATATATACAGATGTTAACATGTACATGCAGACAAGTAAATCAATCTGTGACAGAATGCCATCAGGAATTTAAAACCTAAAACTTGCTCAAGAACTTGAATCACTTATGATGTTTATGAAAGAAACTATCAAGTGTGTTCATTAAATACATATTACTCTGTTGGTTAAACAAACAAGAAAAGCCCCATGCAGACCAGGCATGCATTTGAGTTTCTTAAGTACAGACCAATTCTACTTTGGTTATCTCAAATTGGCCGTGTTTAAAGATATATTCAATAAATGTGTTACTATGTTTAGCAAAACATTAAAATGCTATCTTGGTTTATGACTTGCTTTTCTGCATTAGTGCTAATTATAAAACTGAATATCAAATAGTATTCCATAAGGCTCAAAATCATTATGCTTTATTTAAGAAACTGAATGAGATTTCTCAAGCCATAATCAGGTAGTATGTAATAGTCTTGTCAATCTATGGAGTACAAAGAAACTTGAAATTGAAATTTGAAATCTTGATACAGCAAATCCTCACTTAACATCATTGATATTTCTGTGAAGTGACTTATAATAAATCAGTTATAGCATAGGCCAATTGATTAGGGGGAAAAAAGGGTTACGTTCCTATGACATTTCATTGACATTACAATGAAATGATGAGACATTATCCGAGGATCTGTTATGTATTCTAGGATTAGTAAGCAAACAGTGTTGACAAGGACCAGTTTTTTCCAATATAGAACAAGTAATAAGGTACTTGTCAATAGTATCTGCAGTTGACTCCCATTGCACTTGGTTACCTTGGTTTCACTAATTACAGTCATTTGTCCTGAATTGCTCTACGCTGGTAAATGATAAGCGGTTTGTAGTAACATGGGCTACTGGAGTGTCATGGAGAATTACCTTTTAGGGAGTAATTTCCTGCGGACCTCAGGAAGCATGTTCTTGGCCGCTCATGAAATCTTATTTCATTCTTTTCATGTCCTGGTTTATCAATATGCATGCCGGTTTTCTGTTGAATTTCTCTCTTTTGTTTCATGTTCGGATTTCAAAATCTAAGTGTCAACCTTCGTGCTTTGCATATTTCCTTCCCCCCTCCCCATGTTACCTCTAAGAAAGAAATGTCAGATATTTATCATCATGAGAGATTGTGGGTTATGAAAACCGAACACAATTTTTTTTCTGTTATGCACGTCACCAGAGATTTTTTTTTTTTAAAGCATTCATTTTCTTTCTACTCACCATTTCCAAATCATTTTTTAAAAATTGAAACAAACAAAAAAAAATTTGGAGCCAGTGTATTTCCCCCAATACCATGAGTAGTTGAGAAACATCTGCTCCCGACACCTCTTTGCCAAAAGCCTTATCCTTCACAATGTAGTCCTAAGAGATGTGGGGCCGATGGTAGGTGGAGATGGGAAAACTGGGAGGACCAGACATCACTGACATCACTCTGGGTGCTGCTGCCTGGAACCTTCCAGGACTCAGCAGCGGGCCCCACTGGGGAATCCTACATCTGCTGTCTCTCTCTCTTCCCCTGCTCACAGGCATGGATCTCTTCTCCAACTGCACCGAGGAGTGCAAAGCCCTGGGCCACTCGGACAGGTGCTGGATGCCTTCCTTTGTCCCCTCGGATGGACGCCAGGCTGCCGACTACCGCAGCAACCTGCACGTGCCCGGCATGGACTCCGTCCCGGACACCGAGGTGTTCGAGGCCCCGGAGGCGCAGCCCGCGGCAGAGCGGTCCTTCTCCACCTTCGGCAAAGAGAAGACCCTGCACAGCACTCTGGAGAGGAAGGAGCTGGACGGACTGCTGTCCAGTACACGAGCGCCTTACAAACCACCGTATTTGAGTAAGTATTCTGTCAAAGGCTGTATCAAGTTGTTCCCTTTGAGGGAATAAAGCTCACCACGCCGTTCTGCTTAGTAACCACAGAGGCCAGGTGGTCCTCGTAAACAAGGCTAGCAATTACTCCAGGATGCAGGCAGCACTTTGCTATGGGAAATGGATGCTGGACAGGCAGGCAGGGTGCAGTGCTAGGACATGGCTGTTGACAGCAATCCAAGGCCACAGTTTTTAGGTTGTTGAAACATTTTTTTTTTTTTTTTCAAACGCTTCTTCGTATTTCCTTTGGATAGTCCTCTCTTGCTTACTTGGTTTCCATGCTGTGTGAGGGGCTTCATCAAGGTAGAAAGACATCTTCTTCGCCCTGGAGTCTCTGAGGGATCTCATTTCTTAAGGATGCCAGCATTAGTGCCTAATCACCCTTTACCACAGTAGCATCGGACACATCACCCCAAATTCAGAAACCAGTGCAGCCTTTCCTTTGACCATTCAGCATGGGTGACAAAGCAGTAGGTTGGTGTGGATTCAAGTCTGATTCGAACCAGAGGCACCGCGTGATGAGCACATATCAATATAGAGATATTCTTCATTTATTTAAATAATAGATTCTTCTAACCTTGAAACTTAGATAATTTCACTCATCTCTTTCAATTTTGGGACCATGTTCTCTCTAAGTGGTTAATTTTATACAGACACTTTGAAAAATAAAAATGCTTTGAGATTCTCTGCAATTTATTTCCTTTGAGAATCTTAGAAATGCAATTATACTATTTATTGTCTATCACATAGGAGTCTTTTAGTTAGTGGATAATTGCTACTGATAACAATATTTTGGTCAAACCAAATGAACTAATATTTCATGAGGATGCAGTTCATAACAAGTCAATCAAAAGATGATGTTTAGCTTGTATAGCAAAGCCATCATAAATGATGTCTGTTTTTATTTATGGTTAAAATAAAAATAAATGGATCCTGGAACCATAAGTTAAAAACATAAGATGAGATAGATTGCAGATGACTTTTATTACTTATGAAATGGGAGGAAAAAAGAAAAAGTACTTAAAGATAGAAGAACGCTTATGTTAGTCCTGATTAATATAAATGTGAAAGGCATGGATTGAATGCACCCAGGACCTGGCTACTATTCTGGCCATTGATAATAAGAATACACAAGTGTCATATAACTAAAGATCTGCCATTGAATACATGCATTGTGATGGCAACAATCAAATGTTGTTTAACGAAGGATCATGCTCAGCTTTTCAAATTATTTAGAGTTGCAATTACCCTAGAATGGTATAGCAATTTTGGATTTCAGAATCAAAGAACTGTGCCTCCTACAAATAATTGATATCTGTTTTGATTTATTTTTTATAGTTATAAAATACAAGGAAACACAAGTACTTAAGGAAAGTATTGAAACATCTAATCGAATAATGAAGGTGCAATTTGAATGCTAGCGTACTAAAGTTTGACTCACATACCGTGTTTCCCCAAAAATAAGACATCCTCCGAAAATAAGACCTAGCATATGGAAAGATAAGACATCCCCTGAAAATAAGACCTAGCGCAACTTTGGGAGAAAAAATTAATATAAGACACTGTCTTATTTTCGGGGAAACAGAGTATCTACACACACTAGTGATTGAAAGTAGCCTAAAATTAAATTTTAACAAAGGAGGACTATTACGCAGTCTTTTGCCCCTCAAACTGAATTCTGGATTTTAAATTTTGTTATCAAAGAACAAGCTTTTCCAAATTTTAAACAATGTATTCTCAATTTAAATTAATAATTCATACTATAGAGATACAGTATCAATGATTTCAACACAAAAGTCAAAGAGCATATGATTCATAGTAATTCAAATTTGTATTTCTAAATAAATACATGTATTTACTTTTGCTATATATCGATTGGTAAGTCTGCATCAAATATAGTGAAAAAAATAAATGCACCTTCTTTTATTCTTAATGAGTACAGATTTTGAAGTTTTATATTCAGACGTGAAAATTTAAGCATTTACAAATGTCTTTCTCCACTGACTAGTTTTTCTTTTTAATTTCAAGTACCACAGTAACAATTTTATTAATGCAAATGTTAATGCTACTTACATTTTAATGAAATTTTCTCTAATTCCTAAGAATCTAGTGTTTCTGTTTAGAAATCTGATTTTAGGGATTATGAAATATGTTAACTGTTATGTGTGTTGCTAGAATCAATGAAGTGTCTATTATATTATCAAGAAAATTGCATTTGTTTCCATATTATCCAAATATGTATTAGGATAAATTAGTTTTCAATAACAATTTATTTTTTTTCTGTTTAGCTAGCTCACATTATTCAAAATTTAGGGGATAGGATGAATTGTGACCTTGATGAAAAATAAGTAGAACAATAGTTATTTTGCTCTTACTTATATTGTCCTTAGTTCTTCATATAATTTTAATCATGTCTGAATACTTTTAAAACTTCTAGTGTTTCATGTCATCTTAGACTCACACAATTATCTTTAAAATTACATCATGGCTCTGATTTAATAGGCATAGTCAATTTTAACCTAATAATGCAAACTATAATCCAAAACCATTCCTGACCATTTTGCTCTCCAAAGTCACATGATAATGGTTGTTAAAAGATGTATCATTTATCATTGGTGATGGAAATACCCTGATCTTCTAAATTGAAAAGCACATCCCTTATCTAATTAAAGAAGCTAAAAATTGACACTAATCATTTGCCTTTAATCAGAATGTTTAAATAATTATTGAGGTAGCAGTTTTTTCTTTTGCTAAACTTGCATTTAGTTTTATGATGAAAATAATATACATTTTGATATTAAGAGCAGTAGCTGTATAATTAGTTAAAGCTCTAAAAAAAAGCTCAATGAGGCTACTGCTGTCATTTGTGAAATGATGACATGAAAATAGTGACATGCTTAATAATACAAATGAGATCATTTTCTATGTCTATACCTCTGATTGCTAAGGTTAATACTGAAAATGGCAGGAAACCAATTTCTACCCAAAAGTATGCATTAAAAATTGTATTTTGTGTTTATAACAGCATACCTAAACACAGTCATGTTTCCTTTTGTTTAAAGAAAAGGTTCATGAGAGTATACATGATGTATTTAATGAAAAAGAACCCCCCTTTTTTTTTTAACTAGGAGTAATTTTGAAAACACATCTCTTAGTACTTGCTTTTAGTCATGAGTGCTTTGTGAACATGCTCTTATTTTTGTTACAACGTTGGCATTTGCTAATACTCTGATAAGGATCAAAGGGACACACTCAAAAATTGAGAAAGGAAATTTAAACATGTAGAGTATATTTCTCATGAAATATAGTCGACACAGTGTTTAGATTTATCTTAAAATGTTAATGAACTTTAGTTTAACCTCACCTTAAATTTTTATTAGAGTAATAAAAATACTAAAATCTTACTTTAACTTTTGTTTTCAGAAGATATCTTTTTTATGAGCTGTCTCCTATATCACTTTATGATATTTCTTCTACTTGACTGTATGCTTTTTTTTTTTTTTACATCCTCAGCATTTTAAAAAAATTATATTGTTGAAAGTATTATAGAGTCTCCTTTTTTCCCCATTGACCCCCTAACCAGAACCCATGGTTAGACTCTTAGGTTTAAAAATATCCTATTTTTATGATGATGAATTGAAGGATTAGATTATAGTCATCTTTTTAAAAATAACTTAGTCTTTCAAATGACACAATAAGTTATACATAAGACAATCTGGATTGTCTCTGCAAATAAGAACAAAAATAATTTTAGAATATAATTGGTAAAGTTATTAATATAACTTAGAAAAAACAATAGTTTTTATACAACATCTTTAACATTGTTTTTCAATTATTCTTCCTTATAATTCTGGCTTCAGATTTTGATCAGATCTTATAAGACTTTTGTCAGTAAATAAACACGTCTTTCAGTAAATAATCAGCCTAAACAATACAGAACTAATGCTGTAAGTTTTAGAAAAATTGTTGATGTTTTTGGTCAATAAACATAGTCCCAAAGAAATGAATAATTAAAGACAATCATAAGATAAACAATCAAATAAATTTTATCTAAAATATATTTGTGAAAATCTTTCATTTATTAAAGTCATATAATAGATTATAAAGAATAAAGTGAGAAAAATATACATTGATATACTAATTTTTAAAATTCTAAATCCATGACATTTCCTGCCTTCAAAGCATACCACATTTAGACTAGTCCATGTGTGCCAAAATATCATGCTAGCTGCTTCCTGACCTCACTTTATTTTTGCCTACTTTTGAGCCTTTTTGAAATTTCAATGCTACTCATCCATATCATAGCATAAGAAAATATGTAGAAGTTCAAAACATTGCATTTAAAATATTGTTGACATTTTATTTAGACTTTGTTTTTAGTAAGCCTTCGATTGGGAAATCTACTTTGGGCATCTATGTTAATTCTAAAGAGCACTTGAAGTTTTTATTTGATTGAAATTGTAGAGCATGTTTTGTTTAGTCACATCTCTTCCGATCCCTTCATGACTTCAGGCTTCCTTCTGTACGTTTTCATGAATTCTTGAACTCAATAGTGTGACAAGAACATATGTAGAATTCAAAATAAAATGTCTTATTGATACACATTATCCTCATATTTACGTACTCTTTTGTAGGGTTTTTCTCTGAGATTTGTATATTCCTCTAATGTCATAAAGATAATTCGACTTTATCAAATATTGAAGTCCACAAATACGTATTTTTATACACAATCTTTTCAATATTTCTGTCTCATAGACTCATACATTACTAAATGGATGGACACCTTTTCTGGATTTTTGTCTTTTTTCCAGCAGATATGTTTATTTCTGTTCACTTTTTCTCCAAGATTTGCTACTCATTTTATAATTACCTGTTTCTGATATTTTTGTTCTCTCTTCTTTATAAGTATATATCTAGATTCATAAACAACTGTATTTCTCACTTTTTTAGTGTATCTCATTGTGACAA